TCCTCCCTCCCTCCCTCCCTCCCTGCATGCATGCATAAATAAATAAAATAAATAAATAAATAAATAAATAAATAAATAAATAAATAAATAAATAAATAAATAACCTGTATCTCTACTTTATTTTTGACGATTTCTTGTGGTGTAGTTTGTGCATAAAATCTTCCTGCTTGTATTTGTACAAGAAAAAGAGAATTATTATAATTATAATTATAATTAAATAATAAATTAATAAGATGTATTTCTATTAATAAATTAAATTTATCATGATTATGTATACCTAATTTACGCATGCATATACCTATGTATTTATACTCAGAAGGATGAGGTATTTTCTCCTTATTCCTGTATATACATATACTACTTATACTACATAAACATGTTGCTGCACAACATGCTAATGCAGCAGGATCAGGAAAAAACATCATCTCCTTCTTATTCTCCTGCTGCTGTTGCTCCTGCTGCTGTTGCTGCTGCTGCTGCTGCTGCTGCTGCTGCTGTTGATTGTGTCTTTTCTAATGCTTCTGATGATAGTTCTTCTGTTTTTATGGTGGTGAGGGTCGTGGTGGTGTTGCTGCTGCTGCTCCTGCTGCTGCTGCTGCTGCTGCTGCTGCTGCTGTTGGGGGAGAAGAGAGGGAGAGAGAGAGAGAGAGAGGGGTTATATAGAGGAAGAGAGGAAGAGGAGGGAGAGGAGACACATAGATGTGTTTGCATGCATGCATGCATGCATGCATGCAACAACAATCATACAACACAATACACACTTCTTCTTCTACCCTCTGCTGCTGCTGCTGCTGTTGCTGTTGCTGCTGTTGCTGCTGCTGCTGCTGCAGCTTCAGTAGCAGCAAGAACAACACACACACACACACACAGAGATTTACATATAAGAGAAGAAAAGAAAGAAAAGAAAAAAAGAGGATAATAATTGTGTATCCTCTGTATTCAAAAAGAAAGAATAATATTATTGATAAACCCTAAACCCTAAACCGCTGAAATATTGCTGCAGCAGCAGCAGCAATAGCAGCAGCAGCAGCAGCAGGGAGGGAGGGAGGGAGGGAAACAACAAGCGTAGATAGAGAAGAAGAACAGCAACAATAAATTCTTTGCTGTTTGTTGTTATTGAGTTAATATAAAAGAAAGGAAAAGAGAGGAAATACAACAACACTTGCTGCTGCTGCTGTTGCTCCTGCTGCTGCTGTTGCTGCTGCTGCTGCTGCTGCAGATAAAGATGATGAATGTAGGCTTTTTTTGCGGCGGCAGCCCCACGACAAATCTGTGCAGATGTTGCTGTTTTATGATTATTAATAGATAAATAGGTAATAATAGTACTTATAAAGGGAAAAAAGAAGAAAAAAGACAAAAAAAAGAAGAAAAAAGAAGAAAGTTGTGTATTGTATATATCGAGTCGCGCGCCTCGCCGACGATCGACGTGCTGCTGCTGCTGCTGCTGTTGCTGTTGTTGCTGCTGTTTCTGCTGTTGTTGTTGCTATGTATTTATCCTTTTCTTCTTTTTATTATTATAATTAATTAAAAATATATTATTTTTATTTAATTATTTATTATTTTATCCCTTTTTTGCATGCAAAACACCAACCTTATACCACCACCGCCAACACAGTCGCGCGTCCGGTGGTCCATGCGCCGGTGCAGCAGCAGCAGCAGCAGCAGCAGCAGCAGCTGCTGCTGCTGCTGCTGCACATAAACCGCAGATTTCCTCCTTAATTATAATTAATATTCATAAAAATATTCATTTTTATTTAAAAATTAATTAATCTCGTGAATTCCCTCCATGTCTGCTTCCTTATTCAGCTTGCTGCTGTTGCTGCTGCTGTTGCTGCTTGTACAGCAGCAACTGCTGCAGTGCAGCAGCAGCTAAGCTGCTGCTCTCGTTCCATGACAGTAAGACTTCTTAAGAATAAGCAGCAAATAAATAATTTCTTTGCCTTTTTCCTCTTATAACAAAGAAAAAAAATAAATAAATATGTCCTTTTATTACTACGCAATATACAGGAAAGCTATATACCCCTATATAAGCAAAGAAAGAGGCTCTCCTTTCTTTCTTTGCACGCATGCATGCATGCATGCATACATGCATGCGTCTGTTGTAATAATGGTTTATTTATGCATGCATTTATTGCTGCTGCTGCTGCTGCTGCTGCTGCACTGCAGCAGCAATTTATACTCCTCTTATAGTTTACTACCCTTAATAAAAGGATATATTTAATTATATAATTCCTTTATTTATTTATACAAAGGAGAAAAAGAAAAAAAAAGATCATAAAAGGAATAAACTCTAATTATAATTGTTTGTCTTTTTTTAGTGTTTTGCTGCTGCTGTGCTATGCAGTTAGCAGCAGCGGCATTAAACAAGGTATACCTGGATCTGCTGCTGCTGCTGCTGCTGCTGCAGCAGCAGCAGCAGCAGCAGTTCATCACATCCTGCTTTGCTCCTCTCTTGTTTATCATCTTCTTCTCCTTCTGTCCTTTTTTTCGATCTGCATGCACACGTGTTGCTGCTACTGCTCCAGCAGCAGCGGCAGCAGCAGCAGCAGTGTGGGGGCCATAAGGCATTAATTTTTATGTTTTCTTTATTTTTTCTTTATTGCTACTTTATAGAAAGTTTGTAGTATGCGTATGGGAGGCGACTAGCTAGCTAGTTAGCTAGTTAGCTAGCTAGCTATCTGTAGCTGTATCTAGCTAGCCCTATCTAGCTAGCTAGCCACAGCTAGCTGATACTCACTACGTAGTAATACAAATCCCTTTTTCTTTATTATATAATTATTATTATTTATTTATATATTATTAATAAAAGGCATTAAGAAGAAAAAGGCAAAGAAAGTTGTTTTGTTACTGTTTACCTCTATAATAATCTACGGGGGCCCTCTTCCTCCTCCTCCTCCTCCTCCTCTTCCTCCTCCTCCTTCTCCTCCCTCCCCCAACAGGAGGAGAGAAAAGAAATAAATGTTTCTTCATTTACAATAAATAAATAAAAATAATTATAATTAAATTGCCTATAGAAAGGAAAGGGTGTCTAGCCATAGTTGGCTTATATATATTTTTATTAAGGAAGGTAGTGTATTATAAGATATGCTGTATATTTGTATAATATAAATTAAATAATAAATAAAATAAAATATAAATAAATAATTAAATATTTATTTATTCTTTTTATTTTATTTTATTTTATATTTATTCTTTTCTTTTATCTATGTCTGTCGTCGGTGGTCCAGTTGGTGTCTCGGTTGTAGGGTGTTCTTATGGTTGTTTTCTTCCTTTTTTTGCTTATTTATTCTCTTTTTTCTGTATTTAAAGAAATAAAATAAAATAAACAAAGTTTATTTAATTTAATTTACCTAAATAGAAGAATAAGATAGACGATTTTGTAGAGATAGGGCACCTTTCCTCATCCCTCCTTTCCCCCCCCCTGGCTGTCGTCACCTTACATATATACAACTCTGCTTACCTCCCCGCCTGGCTGTCGCTGGCTTGTTACCATGTTTTTTATTGTATAATTAATTAATTATTATAATTAAACGTTTTATTTCAATTAATAAAAGGATATTTCAATTAAATATCCTGTAGAAAAGGGCGTGTATGCCCTATTTTCCTTAGCGGCTTACTCGCCGTCTGTGGTCACCGCACCGTCTCGAAGGGGAATTGTATTTTATTTTCCCTCTGTTCTTCCTTTGTTTGATTTAAATATATATAATATATATTTTATATATATTATATATAATTTATTTTTATTTAATTAAATAAAATGGCGAGGCGGTGGCTCGCCTTCGTCCTATGCGCTGTCCTGGCAGTCATCGCGCGAGCAGCAGAGCAGCCACAGCAGCAACTGCAGGAAGAGCAGCAGCAAGAGCAGCAGCAGCAGCAGCAGGAAGCTAACAAGAATGAGGTTATTACCCCTAACACAACCCCTGAAGATATAATAGTAGAGAATCCCCCTCCCACGCAAGACCCCACCAGCAGGCCACCAACAGGGACGGAGGAGGTAGGATCACCGGAACAGGATAAGGATCAGCAGCAGCAGCAGCAGGAGAATAAAGATGAACATCAGCAGCAGGATCAGCAACAGCAGCAGCAACAGCAGCAGCAGGAGGAAGAAGAAGAAGAAGACCATGAAGAAGAAGAGATGATATTAGGTGCCCTACGCTTCGATACATTATACAAGTATATGTCTTCCTTACAGAAGAAATTCTTATTAGCTGTTCTTCCTGATTCATGGGCAGTACCTAAGTTTATACCATCTAATAATGTTGAGCTAGAGCAAGTACAGCAATTCCTTCGTCAATTAGCAGAGGAGATAGGAGACCCTATTACCAGTAGCAGCAGCAGCAGCAGCAGCAGCAGTGGTGGTGGTGGTGGCTCTGCTGCTGCGCTAATAGAGCTAGCAGAGAGCAACAGACTACCTGCTGTGCTGCAGGCAAACCCTCAATTACCTTCTGTCCTTAAGGAATTATTAGCAGCAAGTATGGGGCCCCTGGGGGCCCCCAAGGATAGATTTATATTATCTAGACAATTTTCTTTACCTAGTTTAGATCTAATAGATATAGAGGAAATAGGGAGACTATTTAGGGTACCAACAGAGCTAGAGTTCCCTGTGTCTCCTGATGGATTGTCTCTATTTATACCTGTTATAATAAAAAAACAAGATATACAACAAAAAGGAGACACTAATAGTCTCCTTGCATCTATAGAGAATATATTTATACCTATTGTCTCCCATGAAGGAGACATTCTCTTCTCTAATGCACAAACAATCTTTAAAGGAATTGAATTACCAACAACTCTTCCCTTCGAGCCTCTAGCTACCTTCTCCGCTTACCAGGTAAACCCTAAACCCTAAACCCTAAACCCTAAACCCTCAAAATTCCGAAACCCTAAACCCTAAACCCTAAAAATCCCGAGACTCAAAACCCTCAAAATCCTTAAACCCTAAACCCTTCCTATCAACCTCCATTGCATGCATGTATACATGCATGCATGCATGCATGCATGCAATTATGTTGCTTGTTTGTGTATATAGATGGAGGATACATCTGGACTATGGGCAGCTGTTAAGGGCCCCGTACTTAGTCGCTTATCTGTCTTAGGGTATGAGGCAGAGACACTCTTTGGTCCTGTATTAAGTTTAGTGTCTCTTCCTCGTGTTGCACTGTCTCTTAATGGGGAGACAGCAGCAGCAACTGCAGCAGCAGCAACAACAGGAGGAGGAGGAGGGGAAGGGAGACAGCAGCAAGCTTCCTTAGATCAGATTGTTGCTGCTGCATCCTCACAATTAAAACAAACATTAATAACATTAAAGGAGATAGGGGGACAAAAAGGAGACAAAAAAAAGGGACAAATACAACAAAGGAGACAGCAGCAACTATTTGCTGCAGAGACACTAGAGGATTTCCTTAATCTTAAATTCCTTAACTTTACTCTCCCTGTTGTTGGTAAGAAAATAAATAAATAAATAAATAAATAAATTAAATAAATAAATAAAAAGGAGACAATTAGTCATGGGGGTATAGTCTGTCTCTCTTTGTCTCTCTGTCTCTATTCCTGTGTTTATATATTTGTCTCTTTGTCTCTGTCCCTCTGTCTCCCTCTGTCTGTCTCCTTGTCTATATGTATGTGTCTCCCTTTATGTGTGTCTCCCTTTTGCCTTCTTATCTATATATTTATATATGTGTCTCCTTTTTGTGTGTCTCCTTTTTATGTGTCTCCTTTTTTAGGTGTCCCTGTTGAGTTAGCTCCTGGTGTATTTACACCCTTAAGGTCTTATAGTGTATGCAGCAACAATGATTGTCCCTTGGGTCTGTCTCTTCCTTCTTTTCCTGATTTCTTAGTGTCTCCTGATGCTGCTGTCTCTAAACTGCAGCAAAGAGTAGAGACACTTTCTTATGAGCTGCAGCAAGCAGTGCAGCAACTGCAGCAAAAAATTAATTCGTCGTTACCTCAAGGTCTTGCTAGTGCTGCTGATGCTCAAGGTAAATTAGGGTTTAGGGTTTAGGGTTTAGGGTTTTGAGCCAGGACTGGGGTAGATAATATGCAGGAGGTTCTAATGGCTTCTGCAGCTGCCCATTCCTTAATTAATCCCTTGCTGCTGCTGCTGATTCTGCATCTCCTGCTGCTGCTGCTGCTGCTGCTGCTGCTGCAGGTGTCTCCGTGGATGGAGCCCTGTCTGCTGCATTGAGTCTCTCTGGCACTCTGCAGCGGGCAGTGAGCATCGCAGGAGAGAAGGTGCAGCGCCTCTTTGGCCTGCAGGGCCCCCCTACTGCAGCAGCAGCAGAACCAGCAGCAGCAGCAGCAGCAGCAGCAGCAGATGCCAGCAAACCACCAGCCCAGGGGGAGGAACCTGCAGGCCTCCTTGCCTCCTTATACAAACGTAGTACAAAGGATGGAGAAGAAGGAGGACTCTTAGCTCCCCGTAGGCGTCTACAGGTATATATATTATATATAATATATATAAATATACATAATATATATAATATAAATAATATATAATATAAATAATATATAATATATATAATATACAGTATATACGTAGCACATATAACCCCAACAAATCACCTGCAGCACCAAGCACTATGTCAAACTAAACCCTAAACCCTAAACCCTAAACCCTAAACCCTAAACCCTAAACCCTTGTTTGTGTGTGTATGTGTGTGTGTGTGTATTGATGAATAGGGTGGTTTAATAGATTTACCAGTATTAGGGGGACGTTTATCTACTATTGAATATGCAGGGAAAGGGAGTATAGAGGATTTATTATCCTTACGTGAATTAGTTGCTGCTGTTGAGGGTTTTGTTCCTTCTGAGGGTTTTGCTGCTGTGCTGCAGTTATCTCCTGAGCTACATGGTAGGACATTAGGGTCTTTATTTGAGGAAAAGTTACTACCTCAGCAGCTGCTGCAGCAACCTATGAGTGCATTACTCAGCAGCAGCAGCAGCAGCAGCATACCCTCTCCTCTGCTGCAGCTAAGCTTAGGAGATTTCTTGTCTCTCTCTAATTCTGTTAATGATTTCTTTAAGACTCCTCTACTACAAGTACCCTCGCTGCAGCAGCTCCTTGATAGGGCACGCCAGTCTCCATTGGCTCTATACAGCAACAGCAGCAGCAGCAGCAGCAGCAACAGGGGGAGGAGCAGCAGCACAAGCAGCAGCAAGAATAATAACAGCCTTAGACAGAGGGAACCACCAATCGCCGCTACCCCTGGCCTATTCTTCTGATTTTAAGAAACCCTAAACCCTAAACCCTAAACCCTCGGCATACGCAGCACAAAAAGTTGCTGCACGCTGATGTTTTAATACATGCAACTTTTTCTATGCGTCTTTTGAAAACCCTAAACACTAAACCCTAAACCCTACTAGGCATAAACAGCAGCAAGCGACAGCCACACCTGCAGCAAAAGCAGCAGCAATAGCAGCAACAGAGAAAACAGATTAGACAAACAACAGAAGAGAACAGGGACAAAAGAGTCTAACAATAAGAGACACAGTACTACATAGAGACAATAATAAACCCTATGGACGATCAGAGGTTTTATACTTATTTATTTATTTATATTTGTCCTCTCCTTGTATCTTCCTCTTACAGGAATTCAGTTTGCTCGGGTTTTGCTTCATACCCGTTGGGAAACCCTAAACCCTAAACCCTTAACCCTAAGAACTGCAGCTGTCGAAGGGAATGTTAATCGAAATATAGAGTAATAGAGACAAAAATATAATTTATATATATTTATTTATATAATTTATATAATTTATATTATACAGACAGAAAAGTTAGCTATTTCCTGGTTAAGAGTGCTTGAAGTGACTCTGTTGTTGCGCTGCTGTCTACCTTTGCTCATAACTATAAATTAGTGTTTAGGGTTTAGGGTTTAGTGTTTACGGGAATCTTATAATTGCCTTTAAAAAATGGGCAAAATCATCCCAAACACACTAATAGAGCATGGGGCCCCCAATCTCTCCGAGGGGCCCCCGTGAGCTACGGGGGCCCCCGGTAGGGCCTCACGCCTTCCCCCTCATACCTTTTAGCTCCCGTTCTAGAAGAAGCCTTCAGGAACAAATAAATATTAAGAAGGCGGCGTTTAATACTGCCCGTGTTTCTGTGTGTTGGGTTAGGGGGCCCCTTCATAGTTATAGGGGGGCCCCCTTATTTTTTTTGTAGCTGCTGCCAATGTTTTGCACTCTGTGGACCCTTGGGGCCCCTCCTGTCTCTCGTAGCTTGCCCCATGCCTCACCGTCTGCTGGTGTGCAAGATGGAGTCCCAGAGTCACCACAAGGGGGCTCCCCCAGGGTGCCCGTTGGCACCACGGAAGGACAAAAGGCTCAGCAAATAGGTCAATGCAATGCTGATCTGTTAACTGATGCAGATGGTGACCTTGAGCCACCTCGCCGGCGTGGCCCTCCTGTGTCGTCTATGAGCACTAGGGGCCCCCCTGGGGTCCGCGGGAAGGGAGAGGGTCCCATCAAGCCACAGTGCTCCGCTGGGGGCCTCTCTTTATTGAGACCCTCTACAGTATTGTTGACCGACATAGAGACAGCGGAGATATTAAAAAATAAAAGGAAGGAGACACTTTTTATTTTACAACAATTGCCAAGAAAACTGCAAGAGGTCGGGAGGGGCCTCTGGCCAGCTGCCCTTTGTATGGGGAGCTTCCTCCTCTCGAGGAGACATCTCCTTATGGGGCCCCCACCTTCTCTTTCTCAAGGGGCCCCCGCGAAACAGGACCTCTGCAGCGGGAAAGACGTAGCCGCCTGTCAGGAGGCCCCTTCAGGATCGGGTTTCGGTGCCCCTACAGTGCCCTGCGACAATGCCTCCGGGGGAGCTCCCGAGGGGCCCCATCACAGGGCCCCCACACAGAACCCCATGGGGGCCCCTACAACCAATGCGTGCAAAAAACGAAAGGTCTTGAGAATCCTTGAGCTCGGCAGCGGTGTTGGCCTAATGGGGCCCCTCTTACGTCGGTTGCTGCTACAGGAGACCCTTAGAAGGGCATCTGAGGGGGCCCCCCGTGAAGGGGGCCCCTCTGAAGAGGATATAGATTTGCTAGTAGAGGTGTACTTGACAGACCTTGATGATGATGCCCTGCAAATATGCGAAAAGACCCAACAACTGGACGAAGCTCTGCTGGGGGCCCCTAAAGCCAGTTGCTATGGGGCCCACGGACTGTTGCAAGGGTCTTGTAGGGCCCCCACCAGCTTAGCAGAGGAATTAATTAAGGGAAGAGGTCATGCAGGGGGCCCCAGGGGATCCTGTCAAGTTAACGTGTTTGTAAGGAGACTCGATTGGAGGACGGGGGGCCCCTGGGGGCCCATCGACTCAAACAAGCTGCGCTCAACGAAGGAGGGAACTAAGTGCAGTACGGGGGGCCCCAGCCCCAACACCAATGATGGAAAGGGCCCTGAGAGGCCTGACGACACGGAGGGGCCCCCAACTGGGGGGCCCCAGAAGGGTCAGGGGGCCCCGGGTGGCGTCAATAGAGACCGTTTTGATTGGACAGATGAAGAAAAGGAGACACTAAAACAAAGGGGGGCCCTCGATGTCATTCTTGCATGCGATGGTCAGCCACAGATACACTTAGACAGGAAGCAGTACTTGCTGCAGCAGCAACAGCAGCAACTGCAGCAACTGCAGCAGCAGTAGAGGAAAGAGATGGAAGAAGAGAGATATCCCTTGTCTTGTTGCTGCCATTGGTGCTGCTGCTACTGCTTTTGCTACGTCTGCCACAGCAGCAGCAGCAGCAGCAGCAGATACACGACTTGAGTTGACAGCAGGATGAAGTGTGTCTCCTTTTTTGTGTTTCTTTAGTGTCTCCTTTGTTGTTCCTCCAGTTACTGTTGGGCTTACTTGTGAGGCGACTGTGGGGCTGCATGCACTCTTTAATGCATTTATTTTATTTGTGTGTCTTTTTGCTGCTGCAGTTGTGTATGACTTCGAGGCAAACAGCGATTTAGCTGCCCTATTGGAGACACTGCTGCAGCAGAACCCTTCTTGCTGCTGCTTGCTGGCGCACTGCAGGAGACTGGGGATCGTCTGCCCTACATCATCTGTCCCTGTTGATGTATTTGCCGAGGATTTCTGGGATCGATTCTGCTCGGTCGATCCCGGAGTCGATCCCACTGGCGATCCCACACAGGATCAAGCTCGCGATTCAACAGAGGACTACCCCACACTCGATCCTACAGACGATCCCACTGAAGACTGCCGACGCCTCCAGCTATACCTACACCCAGCGCCCCCTCTTGCTGTCACCTTCGCGGGGATCGTAGATCCCAAGCATTTGCGCGCCACAGCAGCCCTTCTTGACGGGAGCCCCGCGAGAAGCGAGGGGATCTTAGAAGGGAGCGCATTGCCAAGAGATGAGAAGGAGCTGCATCTTATCGAACAAGGAGATAATGCTGCGGCTGCTGCTGCTGCTGCAGCAACAGCCGCAGAAGAAGGGGAAGACAGCCGATTCTCGCTGCGGCCATGGGAGGTACAGGCGGCAGCGGCAAAGGGCGAGATCTGGGAAGTGCGGCTAAAGAGGTCTGTCTTGAGGTATCAACGGCAATCACAATGATAAATAAAACAAATATAATATTATTAGTTATATATTTGCAAAAATAAAAGGAATATATACAATTTAATGCATTTTATATGGTGTTGTCGACTAGCAGCAAGAGAGCGCTCCCCGCTCGGGAGCTTGACGGCTTTTGCAGTGACTGGGTGTAACCATCTTCTCTATACTTTCTTCGCATTCTAAAAAGTAATTAAATTATTCATTTAATTGATTTAATGCATGTAAAACATAAAAAGAAATAAAAAAAGCTAAAAAGGCCGACGGCCAAACCTCAGGCCGCGCGAGCATGTAGCCGGGGGTCACTTGGGGCCTCTGCGGAGAGAGGAGGCCAAGGAAGCAGCCCTGGGTCTTTTCTTCTTCGTATCTAAAGTTACCTAATCTGTTTTTTATATATTTTTATTTTATATTTCTTTGCAATTGACGGAAGGAAGACGTTCTTTTATCCGCTGCAGTGGCAGGGGACTCCTCCCACGAGCACCCTTAGGGACCACGACGCAGAATTCGGGTTTAGGGTTTAGGGTTTAGGGTTTACAATGGCCTTTCCGAGCTCATCTCAGGCAATGTACGCCGCTCTCTTTAGTGGGGAGGCGATGAGGGAGGCCTTAAGATGGTCGGTTTCCCTTCTCTGGGTGCAGCAGAGCACACGTTATCTGCATTCATGGGCCTTGTCTTGTGTTGTATACCTTCCTCAGCTATACATGCATCTATAGACACACAACAATAGTCTATAGCCACAATTGTAGGACCGCCTTTAGGAGGGTTGCTACACGGGGCACATGGGGATCGTCTGGGATCGACTTCTCCCTGCCGATCTTCGCTGTTTGCTGCTCTCCCCTTAGGGAAGACCCACCTACGAGACCTCTAACAGCAGATACTTACCTCAGTGCATATAAAGATGATTATAGAGGACATAAATGGATAGCTGATTGGGCGTACACCCCAGCTAGCCAAACACAAATGACAAGAGGGAACTACCCGGCGACACCTCAATTAGCGCATGTACCCTCAACCTACCGCTGCTGCTGCTGCTGTTGCTGCTGCTACCCGCCTCTTTTGCTGCTGCCTCTCTTACTGGTACAGCTGCTGTCTCGGTTGTTGCTGGATCTCCTGCAGCCGTTGCTGCACTATCTGCTGCTGCAGATGCCCCAGCTGCGCTGTTGCAGAGCAACATCCGTATTGCTGCTGCGGCTAGCCTGCTCGGCTGCTGCTGCTGTGCTGCTGCTGCTGTTGCTGTTGCTGTTGCTCCTGCTGGTGCTGCTTCTAACAGAGGTGTCTTGGACATAGCATTTGCTGTCAATCGTCTGCTGTTGCTGCTGCTGCTGCTGCAGGGACCCCCCTGCTGCTCTCCTGACGCATGCCACACCTGCGGTGATGAAGGCAAGGCACTATGAGTGTTATAAACCCTAAACCCTAGCCGCGTAAACCCTAATCCATAAACCCTAGAACCTTCCAGGGTGGAGGTCTGCCCGTTTAGGTTTCCCCGAAGCTACTGTCTCTTTTAGAGACCATTTCTGCTGCTGATCGGCTCTTGGCTGTTGCTGCTGCTGTTGCTGCTGCTGCAGTGTCCCATGAATACTGCTCATTGGCCTACCGCGAGGCCCTCGAAAAGACAAGGGCCTCCAGGGGCCCCCGTGCCCACTGTACCCAGACAGTTGAGGTGGGAGTAGACAGGGGACTTGACGATCCCCCTCGTCCTTACTGCTCCGTACATGAAACCTGCAGACAGCTGCAGCAGCAGCAGCTACTGCAGCAACAACAGCAGAGGCAACGGCAGCGGCAGCGGCAGCAACAGTACTGGAGACCCCCTTGCATGTGCCATAGCTGCCACTGCTGCTGCTGCTGCAGTAGGCCGGATTATCCCCTGCAGCATCTGCAGCTGCCGCAGCAACGCATGCGACGCTATCCTTCTGCAGCATGCATCTCACCGCATCCGCTGCTGCAGCGGCAGCGGCAGCAGCAGCAGCAGCAGGAATACGTCCGAGGGTTTCTTCCCTCTAGGGGGGGCCTAGGCAGGAGACGCAATGAGGCCCTGCTGCAGCGAGTAGGAGGAGGATACCAACTATATGGGCCCATACCTTGGGACTCCTTTAGGGAGCGACATGCACAAACTAATACTCCTGTACGCCCTAAACCCTAAACCCTAAACCCTAAACTCCAATATTGTGCAGCAAGTCGTGGGGGTGGAAGATAGAGAACCAATGCAGCTTCTTGTGCTCTCTTGCTACTTGCACGCAGCTAGACATCACAAGACATGCTGCAACACAAACAGCAACAGCTGCGGCAGTTGCAGCAGCAAAAGCCGAAGCAGAAGCCGCAGCAGAAGAAGCTGCAGTCGCCGAAGCAGCAGCAGCAGCAGCAACGCAGCCGCAGCAACAGCAGCAGCAGCTACACTGCCGCAGCATGCAGCGCAGCATCAGCTGTGATGCAGCCCACCTTACGCCTGCCTTCAGGCAACAGAGAGACACGGCTCCAAACAAAGTGTGCAGTAGCAGCTGCTGCTGCTGCAGCCACAGGTGTTGCCGCTGCTGCCGTCCCGCCCTAACGCCACTTGGAAGAGCAGCACAGGCAGCAGCAGCAGCAGTTGCTGCTGCTTCTGCTTCTTCTCCTGCTGCTGCAGGGAAGCCCTCAATAGTCATAGAACCTAGGCAATACATCCGAGCAGCAACCGCCTCTGCTCGCTCCTGCAGCTCAACGCTACCACGAGGGCCCCTGCAGCAGCGGCAGCAGCAGGATCAACAGGGTGGGTCAACCTGCTGCTGCTGCGGCTGCCCAACACCAAAGAAGACCATAAGCAGACCTGTCAGCACAAAGAGGAGGATCCGCCCTATTAGTAGCATGAAGGAGACAAGCAAGAAGGGCCCCAAGACGACACAAAGTGGGCCCCCCTCTCTACTGCAAGGGTACGCGGGGGCCCTAAAGAGCCGCCAACCCTCTAAGTCTAAAATCAAAACCCCTAAATCTAATCAGTAAGTTGTACCCAAACCCCTAAACCCTAAACCCTAAACCCTAAACCCTAAACTCTCGAAAATATACCCTAAACCCTAAAACCCTACACAAGAATCCAAAGTAAACCCTAGACACCTGGACCCAAATACTCAAGCCCTAAACCTCAAACTCTAGACTCATAAACGTAAACCCTAAACCCTAAACCCTAAAGAGAGAGGCTATTCTTTTGACTGCAGGCGGAAGGAGTGGTGCCCCAACTGCGACAGGGCCCCCCACTTGGCTCCTTGCTCTTCGCAGTCTTCTAACCCCAAGGACTTTCTTTGGCTTTATCCCGCCTTGGTTAGGGAGTAATAAAGCTAGAGAAAGGGATATAGGGGGCCCCTTACCTCTCTATGCTGCAGGAGGCCCCAAAGCACAAGGGCATCACATTTGTATGCATGCAACAACTGGAGACACAGAAGAGACTGGCTAATGGAAAAAGCAGATGAGGGCTCCTCATAATAAGTGGAAAACCCTAAACCCTAAGAGAGGCCCTTGCCAATTGACGCCGGGGGCCCCAGGCTTCTTGTGGGGCCCCCCCCAAATGGGTTGGCGGTCCCTGTATGCTAAACACCACACCTCTAAGGTGCTTCACCTTTCGTAGCTTACACTCTGCATGCAAATGAGCCCCATAATAACATACTTTGGTGTCCCCCAGCGGACGTAAAAGAGGGGAAGGTGGGGCCCCTGGGATGTGGCCTTCTAAGGGGGCCCCCCGCCGGCGCATTGTTTGCTGCACATGGCTTATTGTGGGCCCTGAAACTTGCCAAAGTGCCTTTTATTGGGCCCCTATATTTGCTAAAAGTTTACACATATTAAAGGAACATTGTTATTGCAAAAAAAAGACATATGATGCAATGGGATAAATGCTAGCGGACAGGTCACCTGGGACCCCCAGTCATCACGAGAACAGTTTTGCTGCCAAATAGGGGAAAATTCCGCATAAAGAAGATACAATTATTAGCTTAGGCATGCACAAACTTGATAATAATAAGGAGATAGAATTAAAAATGGCAGTTTCAAGGGGAACAGCAAAGGGTTTTTCATAGGGGAGGCAGCCCGTGGCAGCGAGTAACTGCAGTACCTAGAGGCATCACCGCTGTTTGTCCGTTATTTTTTCTCTTTTTCTCTGAATTAAACAAAGATAAACTACCTTTTGCCTTTATTAATTCCTTTGTTTCTCCGTTACATTCAAAAATATACAATAAGGTTTTGCACACTCTCAATCGCCCGCCGCGACCAGTGGACACCTGTTGGAAAGCTACAGCGTGCCTAAACCCTAAACCATAAACCCTAAACCCCAAACCCTAACCCGTAATTTTTACGCACTAAATGGCCAACTGAGAGACCTCCATTGGGTGTCTTGGCCCCCAAAACTCACTGCTCAAGACCTCCTGTGTCTTGTGTTTTATTGCTCCCTCTAAAACACCGCACACTCCACCAAACCCTAAACCCTCGGCAGCAAGGGTTTGTGTACCCCCGCTACTGATGGTATTCAGAGCGGGGGCTTCAGTCTCAGGTAGCGCGCTGCTCCCACTCCCTGGAGACTGTGGCGCCTCTCCCCCTCCCTCCTCCTTCGCAACTCCAGGGGCTCCTACGTGCAGCAGTAAGGAATCTGGGGCCCTGCAGAGCCTATTTTCCTTAGCTTCAAAAACGGGCCCACTACTCGAGGGTTTAGGGTTTAGGGTTTAGGGTTTTGTTTTGAGGTCTGTGCAGAGAAAATGCACCACACCAACCGCAGCACCGAGAATGCGCCGGAGGAGAAACCCCTCAAACATCCTCAGAAATGGGCAGTGTAGGTATATAATGAGAAAGCAGCAGCAACAGCAACAGCAGCAGCAGCAGTAGTAGCAGCAGCAGCAGAAGGTTCAGCAGGTGCAGTAGAAGCAGCACCACCATACGGAGAGAAGCCCTACGGGGACGGGGGCCCCCATCATTCCCCTAAACCTCCTGGTACAGTAATATCGGGGGCCCCCTATGCAAATAGACTTTTCCTGTTTGTTTCTGTTTGTGTGTACGTACACCTCACTGCTGCTGCTGCTGCTGCTCTCAGCACTCTCTTAGCAGCTCGTGCGTCTTTAGGGAATTCTTTGCTGCCTCTTGCTGTTCGTCTCCCCACATCTGCTATTGACGTTAATGAATGGCTAGCCTGCCAAGGTATGCCAGATACAAATTCCTGCTGCTGCTGTTGTTGCTGCTGCTGCTGCTGCGGCTGATGCTCCTCTTCCGACTGATGCTGGTGTGTTGCTGCTGCATGTGTGCGTATGGTGGGAGGGACGCAGGGAGGGTTAAGGTTTGGACAGCTCGAGGGTTTAGGGTTTAGGGTTTAGAGTTTACGATTTAGGGTTTGTGTGCAGTGTATGACATATTCAATGAAGCAACGGTGGTTTGGGGATTCACCAAGGAGGTGTGCAACTGCCGCCGTCTTACTGCTGGCGAGTGAGGGGTTTCTAGGCTTTAGGGTTTAGGGTTTAGGGTTTAGGGTTTAGGGTTTGTTTAGTAATTGCAGCGACCCTGAAGACAGCAGCAGCAAATACAGCCGAACAGCATTCGCACTTGGAAAAATTCTCTTGTGCATATGTGCGTAAACCCTAAACCCTAAACCCTAAACCCTAATTGGGGCTTACCTACGTTGCAGCTTTAGCCTAGTCGCCCCTGCAGAACCCTCCGCTCCTGCCCGCGATCATATCCGAGGGGCCCTTGCTAAATGCCGTTCCCTGCTGCAGGACCCACGCATCTTTGTGTGTCAGCCGGGTAAACCCTAAACCCTAAACCCTAAACCCTAAACCCTAAACACTAGAATATAAACAGTACACTCTAAAGCCTAAACTCGAAGACAACGAGCATAAATGCTCTAAGAGCACTGTGGCGGTACCTTGAAGACCCTGCTACAGCGGAGCTCGGAGTTAGGGAGCTTAGGGTTTAGGGTTTAGGGTTTGTGTTGTGGTTTAGGACAGGAGTTTCCTCGGAATTTTCCTTCCTTTGTTTCGCATATTTTAGTTCAATTGTTGCAGATGTATTGCCATATATACAGGCAGCATTTTGATTGGTTGTTAGAGGTAAACCCTCGTAAACCCTCCTAAACCCTCGTAAACCCTCGTAAACCCTCGTAAACCCTAGACTCTCAACCCTAATAAACCAGGTAAACCCTTGAAAACATTGTCTGTCTCGTCTCCGGATTTCGGTGTCGGTGTAGTAGCACCAACGCACAGCAATAGCAGCAACACCAGAAATAGGAAAACGTTTCCCTGGCGCTGCTGCTGCTGCTGCTGCTGCTGCTGCTGCTGCTGCTGCTGCTGCTGCTGCTGTATAACAGACGGACACAGTGGCGCATGTAAATTCTTGTTTTAAGCACGCCCTCTACTTCGGCATGGAGTTCGGTCTTGTTAAGTTAGAGGATGTCGCCCCTATTAAGGTAATTGTCTCCTTCCTTACATAGACAACTGTCTCCTCAGTAACACCCACAGTAGTCCTCCTAGGGGGCCCCTTGGGGGGGCCTTGGGGCCCCCAAGAGGGTTATTGAGGGGTTTGCCTTGGGGGCGTCAGAGGGTATCCACAAAGGAACCCACCGAAAGGCTTCCAAGGGTTATTCGAGGGGCCCCCTTTGGGGGGGCCCCAACGGGTAGGCGGACTCCTGTGGTTGCCTGTTACTATGGTGCTTTATGCGCCTCCGTCTGTGTGGGGGCCCTAGGTGTCTCTTTTGCTGCTGTCTTCTGCTGCTGCTGCTGCTGCTGCTGCTGCGCTCTTAGGGATTGGCACTACATTTCTTAGAACAGGCGCAGAGGGAAATCGCAGAGGCAGAAGCAGCAGATGACCCCAACCAGCAGCAGCAACAACAACAGCAACAGCAGCAACTGCAGCAACAGCAGCAGCAAAAGAAGCAGCAGCAGCAGCAGCAAAGGGAGGCGGTATTAATGAGGCAGAAAGGGCAGCAACAACAACAGGAGCAACAGATACGTCGCCCTTTTTAATGTATTATTTAGCAGCACTACGTAATTATTAATTCATTTATACTAATAAAGGGCCCCTAAGGGGGGCCCCCTCCTATTATTGTATGGGCCCTTTATGAAGAACATTAAAGGGACGTTAATTGTCTCCTCTAGTCCATAACCAATAACAAACGAACAACGGCACTGCATATATCTTCCTAGGGCCCCTAGGGACCCCAGGAGGTAGCCCCAGGGGCCCCAGGAAGAAGACGCAGGGGCCCCAGAAGGGGGCCCTAGAGGCTCCAGAAGGCAGCCCTAGGGGCCCCTAATAAATACCTTCGGAGTCTGGTTATGCCCCGTGTACCCTCGCGGAGTGGCGTGGAGGCCCCAGAGGGTATCAGGGGCCCCCAAGGGATGCCTCTTATAGGAAGGCTTGGGGGGCCCTCAAGCCCTGTTGGGGGCCCCTTAAGGGTCTCGGGGATCCCTCCAAAGGCCGACCGATAGAGCATTAGGGGCCCCTAAGGGCCCCTTCTTTTTACTCGATGGGGCCCTTGTGAGTGACTGTTGGCAGTACAAGCAGCACACGGAAGGACTCCACCTGCGGGTGGCAAAAAGAAACGCCAAGCCAAACCCTAAACCCTAAACCCCAAACCCTGGTTTCTGGCCTGGCCTCAGGTAGAAAGAGAAGAAAAGAAGAAATGAATTACACCAGGTGTATATACACTGCAACTCACTTCATTCTGTAGTACTACCGACAACCAGCCATGCAGCGACTCGTCCTCCGGCACCACTGAAGCAACGCAACCCTCACACTCGTAAACCCTAAACCCCAAACCCTAAAAGGTAAATCCTGCACGCGAAATGGTAAGGCTGGAGTCTAAGGGATGCCCATCACGTACGTAGCGCCACAAGACCGTCTTGGCTGTTGCTGCAGTCCAACAGGGCCTGAAACACAAATCCTAAACCCTAAACCCTAAACCCTAAACCCTAAAACCGTAAATCCTAGGCACTCGACCTGTGAAGCTAATATTTAAGGGGCGGTGCAAAACCCTAAACCCTACGCGTACCTTGAGACCAGCAATGAGGTGTTTCGTGACGACTGATCGGACGAAGGAAACCTCCGCAGGAGCTGCATGCACACAAACAGCAAACACCTAGCCCTATCCAAACAAGCTAGGGTTTGAGCCTATGGCCTAGGGTTTAGAGTTTGGGGTTTAGGGCATAGAAAACACGATAAGGGTTTCCTAACCTTCCTGTCCTTCCGGCACGAGACGGCAGCAGCGAGTGTACATCGCCTTGGCGGTTACGAGGTCGGAGGCTGAGCACACAAACCCTAAACCCTAAACCCTTAAACTTAAACCCTAAACCCTTATCCGTATTCTCGAAGTGTTTCCTCTAATGTCCACTCCGAGGGTTTGGGGTTTAGTGTTTTCGCAGACCCGCAGAAACAGCCAAATCAAATGCATTGGAGTCATGAGGGTTTATGTTGCCCTCCAGCGTCACCTCATCGCTACCTGCAAAGGACAATAAACCCTAAACCCTAAACCCTAAACCCTTCAGCGAAGAACACAGTAGCAGGATATCTAAACTGCTGCTATTTAAACACGAGGTAGGGTTTCGGGTTTAGGGTTTGGGCGTACCAAGCTTCCGTAGGCGTTCGAGCATTTGAAGAAGACTCTTCACACGGGGAAGCTCTAAATTCGACTGCGCATGCAAACCCTAAACCCTAAACCCTAAACCCTAAGCTCTAGACCCTAAACCCTTAGTATGACATTGCATGCCATTAGTCTTGAGAATTTTGGCAGGCATAGGGTGAATAAAGCCGGCACGCGCCTAGGGTTTAGGGTTTAGGGTTTGGCTAACCTTGCAAGGAGGGATTTCAGGGGTCCCTGCCTCATCTACTGCTTGACCCTGTAGCGGAACAACACGGCAATCCTGAGGGCACCCAGGCGACGGCACCAACCTCCAAACCCTAAACCCTAAACCCTAAACCACAAACCCTCAACCCTAGAAAAAACTCCAACTGTAGCCCTTTAGATTACCTGTGTAATCCAAACATTAGCCAGATGCAGGTCCGTAAATTCAAACACCAACGCTCCTTGTCCCGATCGCCTGCAAACAAACCCTAAACCCTAAACCCTAAACCCTAAACCCTAAACGCTAAACCCTAAACCCACTTTCATCGCTTTCCTACCGTCCTTCTTTTAAGAATTAGGGTTTACAGTGTTTGAGGTCTATGAAACCTTGCATAGGTATTCTTTAAGGGCTTAATCCCTAGGGTTTCCGAGGGTTTATGAGGGTTTATGAGGGTTTATGAGGGTTTATGAGGGTTTATGAGGGTTTACTTGGCGAGTTTAACAGTAATCCTAGCACAATTTTGTGCTAATTTAAGGGTACCTAATAATTGTCTTGGCTCTATTTGCAGAGCAACACAATTATTCCTTTTACTCTCTAATATCCAACCTGCACTAAATACTTCCGCCTATACATAAACCCTAAACCCTAAACCCTAAACCCTAAACCCTTAACCCTAGGAGGACCAGACCAAGCATGCATTGAAACACAAAGACCAAATTAGACATACATAAACCCTAAACGACACACATACCCAAACCCTAAACCCTGTAACAGGAGAAACACATCTGAGGTAAAACTAGGGTTTAGGGTTTGCATACCATATCCAATTCAGCGTATAACTCGCATGATGACTGTCTTGTATTAAGACTAAGTTTCTTTGGGGATAATTTTAGGCAGCAACTGCCGGGGGGCCCCCCTCTAGATAACCGCTGCAGCGCCGATGTTATCCCTGCAAAAAAAGACAAGACAAACCCTAAACCCTAAACCCTAAACCCTAAATTTGGAGGGTTTAGAACGATGGCACACCTACCGATGAGGTGAGGAAGAGCCTCTATACGCAGAGAAGCGCTGAATTTCATTCTGTCGACGCCCCTCGGAATAGAAAACCCTAAACCCTAAACCCTAAACCCTAATAACTGAACCCAAGATTCTTAAATTTGGGTCGAGTATGGATGCTGTTAGGCCTCCCCATTTGGATATAGATACGGGGTTATAGCTTAAAATATTGAGGGTTTAGGGTTTAGGGTTTGGGCTTCGGATAGAAAATACCCGTAACCCCAATACAAAAACTAGCTCCTAGAAAGGACTAGGCCTTAAACACCAAACCCTAAACCCTAAACCCTTAGCCCAAAACCCTCGATCCTAAATTACATGCATGCTACAAAAGTATCTTTTGATTTAAGGCGAGTATATAGTTTATATTTTCTTTAATGTGGGGCCCCCTTGTCTGCCGTACCCTCCGGGGCCCCCCGAGGGGTCTGGGGCCCCCTTGTACTGTCTGTTTCTTTGCTGCTTGTTTCTAATAAGTATTAAATTGAATCATTAATTTATTTTTTATTTAAAGGAGAGGCAAAATAGAGAAAGTTCTCCTTCCCTCCTCCCCTCCTCCCACCGACCCGAACACACTAGGGGGCCCCCCCGTGTTCCCTCACTGAGGCTATAGGGGGCCCACAAAGGAAGGGGCCCCACCCGCCTTAATCGAAGCAACTAGCAGCGTGGGGGCCCTCTCTGTACGCTTTTGAATGGCAGCTACGAGCAGCTCTGTCGCAGGGGGCCCCCCCTTCTCGCTGGCGGGATGGGGGGCCACCTTAGTGCCCTACAAGGGCCCCCGTTATCTAACAGGGAGGCCCGCCATTTCTTCCTCAAGCGCACAGGGTCCTGACAGCCCCGTGTGCTTCTTAAGACGGAAGACTATACGCAGCAGCAGCAACAGCAGCAGCAACAGCAGCAGCAGCAGCAGCAGCATTGCCACCCTCATTGATGAACTCGTTGAATCTCGAGCTGCTGCTCTAGGGGCCCCCAAATCAGCTAGACAGAGGGCCCGCAGCGCTGCTTGGGGGGCCCTCCTCAGTTCCTCTGTTCACTGCAGCAGCAACAGCAGCAGTAGCAAGAGTGGCAACAGGCACAGCAGCGGCAGCAAAAAGGGTACAGAGGAGGCACAAGAGTTGATGCTACTGCTGCTGCAGCAAAAGCAACAGTTACTGTTGCAGCAACAGCACGATGACGCCAACTTCCTAGGGTGTGCTGCTGCAGCAATATGCGGGGATATAACGGCGGAGGGGGGCCCCTTAGGGGCCCCCCTTGCCCCTTACAAGGATCTGCAGCAACACTTGCTGCTGCTGCTGCTGCTGGCAGGTGCGGCAGACAGCACAGGGGCAGCAGCAGCAACAACAACTACAAGCACAGCAGTAACTCGGAAGCAGCGCGCGGCCCTACGTCGGCGGCTTTTGCTGCTCTATCAACAGCATCAGCAGCAGCAGCAACAGCAGCCGCAACAGCAGCAGCAACAGCAGCAGCTGCTGCAGAAAAGTCCCTCTAAAGAGGGGGCCCCCTCAACTGTTCCTCTCCCCTTTTCCTCAGAGTTACGGCTAACACTAAGACAAGACCCTCCTAGCGGCAAGGATAAGACTCCCTATGGGGGCCCCATGTGGGGCCCCTCTAGACCCTCCCTGAAGGGTCCTTTTGGGGGGCCACTGTGGGGCCCCTCTGGAGGCTCCGTGAGAGGCCCTTTCGGGGGCCTTTCAGGGGGCCCCTCTTCTTTGGGGGCCCCCCTTGGAGACACAGGGGAGGAGAGTTCTTTAGAAGATTTATTTAATCCCTTAGATAATGGTATTCCTTTTGGGGGTATTGAGGGAGAGGGGGGCCCCTGTTCCCAGGTGCAGTCCTGGGGGCCCCCTCCCTACACGGATAGTCCTGCTGCTGCAGCAGAGACTGTAGCAGCACGGGCTCGGGAAGAGGCTACTCCCTACAGCAGCAGCAGCAGCAAAGAAAGCAGCAGCAGCAGCAGCAGCTGGTTGTTGGGAGGTGTGCAGACAAGACTGTCAGGGGACAGGGGGGAGGGGGCCCCCTTCGGTGCCTTATCAAGGGGATTCTTGGGGGGCCCCCAAGACGCTGGGGAGGGGCACCATCAATTATCTCTAACGGATACCTTCCGCGCGGCGCTGTGCAACAAGCAAGCGGTTGCAGCAGCTGCAGCAGCAGCGACTGCTGCTGCTGCTGGTGCAGCAGAAGAGGAGCGCAGTAGCTTAAGCGGAGCTCATGGGGGGTATGATGCAGGTCGTAGGGGCCCCTGGGCCGTTCCTTCTCTGGGGGTGCCCCCATACGATGCTGCTGCAGCAACAGCAGCAGCATCTGCTGGTGGAGAGCAGCAGCTACTGCGTCGCTTCACTGCCCTGTCTCTTAGAGGAGAAACGCGTAGTGGGGGGCCCCCCTTGACAGAAAGTCAGCAGCAGCAGCAGCAGCAGCAGCAGAAGCAAGATCCCCTTCCCGACACCTCACCAAGGGGGCCCCCCCTTAAGAGCCTCCTATCTATACCGGAAAATGTACTGCTGCGGCTTCAGGGGGGCCCACCACAGCAGGAAGGGGGCCCCTCTGCAGCAGGGGGTCTCTCTGTAGAAGGGGGGCCCCCTGAGTCCTTGCCTGCAGGCGTGTGGCTGTCAGCAACACGTCCTTACCGATCAACAGAGGGGGCCCTTGCGCTGCAGCTGCCTGCAGCAGCATCTGGTGCAGCAAGAGCAGCAGCAGCAAGTGTAGCAGAAGCAGCACTGGGAGGTACCCTTATGGGTCTAACGCAGAGGTGAGCAGCATGAGTAGCAGCACCAGTAGCAACACCAGTAGCAGCAGCAGCAGCAGCAGCAGCAGCAATTACGTTCCTTGCTTCTTGTTGTTATATTCGTAGGTTGGAGACAGCAAGAGCTCTGCTGCAGCAAGGAGACAGACACCTCAAGGAGAGAGACACCTCATCTGCTGCTGGGGGCCCCAGTACCCACCAGACTCACTTTCATCTGCGGTGGCCCCAGGGGGGCCCCCCTTGGGGGCACCCCCACAGGGGGCCCCCTGAATGGGGGCCCTCTAGGGTCATAGGGGCCCAGAGCTCCATGGAGGCGCAGCGTGCTGCCCCTCTGTGGATCCGCTGCTGCTGCGCTGCTCTATTAGGAGACCCTTCTCCCCTCTTCCCTCTTGCTGCTGTCTGCTGCTGCTGCGACAACATGAGCATCGAGCAGCAGCAGCAGCAACTGCCTAATCCTGAGGTGTACGTACAGCCGCAAGAGGTACTCTTTGGATCTGCCTGCATCAGCTGCAGCTACAGCAGCACCACCACCAACAGCAGTGGCTGCCCTGCAAGGGAGAGGCCCTTTTTTGCTGCTGCAGATATGCGTTGCTGCTACGAGGTGCTTCTTGCTGCACACGGCCCAACAGCAGCAGCAGCAGCAGCAGCAGCAGGTGAAGGCTCATGCAAAGTTTCGGGGCCCTGGCAAGAGGCCTTGCAGCAAATTGCAGAGTACGGTGCTGCTGCTGCTGCTGCTGCTGCTGCTGCCGCTGCCGCTGCTGCTTCCCTCAGTACTTGTGGTGTCTCGATTAGATTTGCCGCTGCATTTATTCTATATACTGCTTTATCTGCTGCTGCTCTTTCTAGCTGCATCCGCTGCTGCATGCATGCACTTTTCTTTGCTGCTGCTGCTGCTGCTGCTGCTGCTGTTGTCTTTGCAGGGTGGGGTCTCTCGTCTTGCGGCTAAAGGCATTTGCCAACGAACTGCTCTTGCCTCCATCTGTTGTCATCTCCCGCAGCAGCAGGCAGCAGCAACCGCAGCAGCAGCAGCAGCAGCGCCAGCCCCTTTATTATGGCCTTACTCTTGCTGCATTTGCTGGGGCTGTTAAGGAAGAGCTGCGTGCCTTTGAGCAATATTTAGTAGATGAGGTGTACGTACACCTCACCCGCTGCTGCTCCCCGCTGTTGCTGCTGACAGTTGTACGCCGTTGGAGGCCTTCGTTGCTGCTGCTAGCTCGCCTCTGCAGCTTAGACTTCCCCTCCAGCAGCAGCAACAGCAGCAGCAGCAGCAGCAGCAGCAGCAGCAAGCGGGTGTTCTGGAGCTTCCCTCGAGGAACAGCACTTCTGTCACGACTAATGAATGCATGCGCTACCCTGCAGCACCTGCGGCTGTCTACCCCTGAGCAGCAGCAGCAGCAACAGCAGCAGAAGCAGCAGCAGCAGGCTGCCGGTGGAGAGGCCGCCTTACCCCTCCGCCTACTAGAGGCCTCTGCCCCTGCCTTCCTGAATACACTTTCTCGTTGTTGCTTTGCGGTGAGGGTTTGCCGTCTAGGGTTTAGGGTTTAGGGTTTAGGGTTTAGACCATCTTGGCAATACCCCAGGGATACCAGCAACAATGACAACCTCGTAGTTACTATTGAGGGTTTAGGGTTTAGGGTTTAGCGTTTGCCTTTTTCTGTCCTCAGGGCAAGATGGAGGATCTATCCTCCGAGTTTTCTGCGCCGGTAGGGGGGCCCCAAGGGGGGCCCCCTCTACGGGGTGTACGCATACCGGGTACCTCGGAGCGGCTGCTGCTGCTTCCTGATCCTCTTCATTTCTTGGGGCCCCTCATTGTCTGCTGCACTGTGCTGCAGCAGCTGCTGCAGCAGTATGACCGGGATGCTGCCTTGGCGTCTCGCCTCTTTTTCCGGCAATACAGCAGCATTACCAGGAGCAGCAGCAACAGCAGCAGCAGCAACAGCAGCAGCAGCGAGGGTGTTGACGAAACACTTAAAGGAGACACTTTAGGGGCCCCTAAAAACCTTTTTGGTGTTCGTGGGGGGTTTGGGGTTGGTGGCTTTCGTGCTGCACTGCAGCAGCTGCAGCAGCCAACAACACCAGCTCTACAAGATGCCTGCAGCAGCAGCAGCAGCAGCAGGGGCGACAGCAGCAGCAACAGCAACAACAGCTACAAGGAGGAGGCAGATTTCTGCAACTTTACGACGAGTGTCACAGCCATGTTGCTGCAGGATGGAAACAGCAGCAAGATTACTACTGCTGCTAGCAGCAGCAGTAGCAACTGCAGCAGCAGCAGCAGCAGCAGCAGCAGCAGCGACAGTTCGTTAGTTCTCGTGTTTGATGCCAGCAGCATTGCTGCAGCAGTTAATAATCATGATCAATGCTTCCAAGCAGCAGCAAGCCGTCTGCAAGGGTTTGCTGCTGCTGGCGGAGACACAGCACTCCCTGCAGCTGCTGAACTGCAGCAAGAGCAGCAGCAGCAGCAGGAACAGCAAGAAGCAGCAGTGGAACAGCAGCAGCAAAAACAAGAACAACTCCAGCAGCAAGCCAAGCTGCAGCACGGCTTTCAAGAGCAGCAGCAGGAGCAAACTCAATTAGCATGCAGCCCCGCTGCAGCTGCTACTGCTGCTGCTGCTGCCGCCGCAGATATGGCGGTGGCCCCTGCAGGAGCAGCAGAAGCTACGGTGCCGCCAGAGGATGTGGACAAGGGAGAGGGGCCCTCTGGGGGGGCCCTCGTGGAGGCCGTTGGGGGGCCCACCGGGGGCCCCCTATACCCTGCCGCAAAGGGGGGAGGGCCCCTCTGGGGGGACCCCTGCATGCAGACCCGAGCAGAAGTGCCTGGAGAGTGCTTTGGAGCCTCTTTAGTTGTGCTGCTGCAGCGACCGCTGCTGCTGCAGGGGGCCCTATTTAATGAGGCGCTGCTGCTGCTGCTGCAGCGAGACGGGAGTCTAGTGGGACTGCTGCAGCAAATTAAACAGGTATGTTGCTGTTGCTGCTGCTGCTGCTGTTGTTTTTGCTGCTGCCTCTTTGCTTCTCTGTTGTTGCTGTTATTGATGGTGTGCTGCTCCTGTACTCTCCTGCTCGTGCTGCTTCTGCCCTACTCCGGCTAATGCTGCTTCTGCTGTTGCTGCTGCTGCTGCTGGTGCTGAAATACATGGGGACCTGCTGCTGCTTTCGTGTCTGCTGCAGCTGCTGCTGTTTGGATCTACGCACATTGTCCAGGAGTTTAGGGTGCTGCTGCAGCAAAGGCTGTTGCAGCATGTGGAGGTGCAGCAGCAACAACAGCACGGATTAACAAATCAAAATACAACGGCACGAGCAGCAGCAGCAAGAGCTGCTGCAGCACCCGCAGCAGCTGCTGCTGCTGGTGGATCCCTCTGCACCGACATCGAGTTGCTGCTGCAGGGGGCCCTGGCGTCCCTTCCCAACAGCACAACAGCCCAGGAGCAGCAGCAGCAGCAGCAACAGCAGCAGCAGCAGCTGTTGCACTTTACCTGCAGCATGCGTTCAGGTGTAGCTGCCGCAGCAGCAGCAGAAGCAGCAGATGAAATAGCAGCAGCAACAGCAGCAGCAGAGCTACTAGATGCTGTGCAGATCCTCCCTGATGCCGCGCCTCCCCTACAATTACTCCTTACCTCTGTAAACCCTAAACCCTTATTCAAAACACTAAACCCTAATTGTAAACCCTAAACCCTCATGCTGAACCCTAGCACCCAATTGTACACTCTAAACCCTCATTATAAACCTTATTTCTTCTCTATAAACCCTAAACCCTAGAGACGTATCCTCCCTAGGGTTTGTTGATGCCTAAATTAGTGTTTAGTGTTTTCTTATGGTTTACATGAGGGTTTATATCTGGGGTGTATATGCAGCCTGTAAAAGAGAGGTACTCTTATGTCTTTTGTTTTCTTCTTCGTCTTGATGCTGCATTGGGGGCATTAAATGATTGTTGGATGCTGCGGAGGAAGCAGCAGCGGCGTCAGCAGCAGCAGCAGCTGCAGCAGGAGCAGCAGGAGCAGCAGCAGCAGCAATTTGCTGCTAGATCTCTACAGCTGCAGCAGCGGCTGCTGCACTTCTTACGCGCTGTTCGTGACTTTGCCTTAACAGACGCAATTGAGGCCCAATGGAGGGTTTTTAATGGTCATGTAGCAGCAGCAACAGCAGCAGCAGCAGCAGCAGCAGCTACAGCAGCAAAAGGAGGTGCAGCAGCAGATGCAGCAGCAGCAGCAGCAGCAAAGAGCAGCAACCTAAGCTTCTTTACTCTTGTTGATGCACACAGCCGCTGTGTGGAGAGTATATACTCAAGGTAGGTGTACTGGGAGCAGCAGCAGCAGCAGCTGCTGCTGCTGTTGCTGCTGCTGCTGCAGCAACAGCAACAACAGCATAGTAAGTAAGGAGTAGGATATATATACCTTCATACTACTGCTTCTGCTGCTGCTGTTGCTGCTGCAGGTGTCTCCTGTCTCCTCGTCTTGCACCCCTACAGAAGAAATTAGTGGCTATAATGCAGTGCGCATGGCGCCTTAGGTCTTTGCTGCTGCGGCAGGAGCAGCAGCAGCAGCAACAGCAACAGCGAGAGGAAGAGGAGTTGGAAATGTTGCACCATGGTCTTGATGGAAAACAGCAGCAGCAGCAACAACAACAACTCCAACAGCAGCAACTGCAGCAGCAGCAGCAGCAGCAGCAGCAGCAGCAGCAGAGTGTCGTGCGGGCGGATCTCTCTCGTTGTTTCTCTCTTGCTGTTGCTGCCTTCTCTACACCAATGGATGCAACAGCACCAGCAGCAACAGCACCAACAGCAGCAGCAGCAGAAACAGCAGCAGCAACAACAGCAGCAGCAGCAGCAGCAGCAGCAGCAGCAGCAAATGAATTAGAGTGTCTATACTTTGATTACGAGCGCAGCAGCAAGGCCTTCTTACGGGCATTGCTGCTGCTGCAGCCTCTTAATATTTTATCTCCTTTATTATTACGTCTTACCTTTAATGGTATTAATCAATAATCTAATAAGGGGGGGCCCCTTGGGGGGCCCCTTGAGGGAGTGGGGGGCCCCCCTCAATACCATTTCTTGTACCGTATGGGGGGCCCCAGGGAGGTTATTTCCTTAAGAAAAGTTTTTTTTTGTTTTTTTTTTCTTATAGAGGAACACCATCATTTATTTATTTATTTATTTATGTATTTATTTATTTATGTATTTATTTTATTTATTTATTTTATTTATTTATTTATTTATTTAGCTTATTTCCTTTTCCTATGGCTGGCTGGCTAGCTAGCTAATTGATTAGCTACCTAGCTAGCTAGCTAGCTAGCTAGCTGGCTAGATACCCAAGAGTATATATAAAAGAGGCGAAGGAATGTTTCGCTGTCACTATCAAAAATAATTGCAGAGAGTGCTCTGCTGCACCTGCTGCTGCTGCTGCTGCTGCAGCAGCAGCAGCAGCTCAGCAGCAGCAGCAGCAGGTATTTTATAGTTTAGATAGTCTATTAGTGCTTAGTGTTGTTGTATGTTCATGCTGACCATTGGTCTCCTTGAGCAGCAGCGGTGTGTTGCATGCAGGGCATGCAATTTGCTGCTGCTTCTGCTGCTGCTGCTGTTGTTGCTGCTGCTGCTGCTCCTGCTGCTGCTGCATGTTTTGTGTATAAGTACCATTAAGTGCTGATTTAGCAGCAGCAAGAGCAGCAGATGGTTGCGTAGCTAAGGAGAGACAAAAGGAGACAGCAGCAAGAAAAAGTGTCTCCTTATCTGCATATACACTAGAAATAAATCCGTGTGTCTTTGCTTCTGCTGCAGCAAAGAAGCGACAAGATAAGCAAATATCTCTTACCCAGCTGCTGCTGCTGCTGCTGCTGTTGCTGCTGCTGCTGCTGCTGCTGCTGTTGCTGCTGCTGTTAGTGCTAGTAGTAAAGAAAGATATATTATTAATTATATTAATATAATTAATTAAATATAAATCTATTTCTTTTATAGTAAATAATGCATCCTTAGCAGCAAGACGTACATCGCATGCACTAACTAAGGAGACACCTATACCTATACAGGGACCAGCAACAGCAGCAACAACAGGTTTATTTATTTTTTTTATTATATTTATTGCTGCATGCAATTTATTTAATACTTCTGCTGCAATAGGAGATAGCAACAAACTTTCCTCATCTTTATCATCATCTTCTTCTCCTCCTCCTGCTGCTCCTGCTGCTCCTGCTGCTCCTGCTGCTGCTAATGCTGTTGCTGTTGCTGCTGCTATTTCTGCAGGTGTATGCAACATCCCTGTGGATGCTGCTGTTGTTGCTGCTGTTGCTGCTGCTATTTCTGCAGGTGTAGTGTGTCTTTGTTGTTTATTTGCTGCTGCTGCTGCTGCTGCTGCTGCTGCTGCCTTACATTGCTGCAGGAAGAAGGAAGGATCTATACCGCAACAGAATGCAGGTCCTGCTGCAGTAATAAGTATACAAGAACAAGATGACCATTGATTAAGTATATGCATGCATTGAGTAAATTCAATAAAAAAATAATAATTAAGAATATTTAATTTATAAGGATTATTTATTTCTATTTGTATTACTAATGAATTCTCTATGCATGCAGCTATATATACACGAATACTCTTATAATTCAATAAATTAGATGGTAATGATGGTATATCATACATTTTTATTTATATTTTTTATTTATTTAATTAATTATATTATTTTTTTCCTATTTATTTCTGTATTTTATACACAAATAACACAAAAACAAGGAAAGAAATGTATGACGCATGCACGACGCCTGACCAGTGGTGTCACCAGCAGCAGCAAGGGAGAGAGGAAATCAACACTATAATGAATAAAATTAATATTAATTTAAATAAATAAATAAAATAAATTAATTAAATTAATTAAATATTGCAAATTAATGCAAGAAATTACACAAAAGCTATGCATGCAGCAGCCCGAGTTTTATAGCAGCTATGCAGCAGCGTCACCTACTACAGCAGCAGCAGCAGACCTGAGTTGCTGCTGCTGCTGCTGCTGCTGCTGTTATTCATAGACTTCGTGGTGTATTTATGTTGAAATCCTTTAATATTAATAAATTAAATATAAAATAATATAATTAAATAGTAATTTAATTCCCTTTTATGCATGCAAATGTCCGTCTAAGCCCCATACATATAACTAACTTCCCTATTATTACGTGACCTGCCTATACACCTGAGAAATTGCCTACACATACCTAAGCATTAAATGTATATTTTTTGTTACCTTTTGCTATAAATAATTAATTAAATATATTTATTTAACTTTTTAATAAGATTATTCATGATATATTGCCATAAACAACATACATCCTCCCTTCCCCTGTGCATGCAGTCTGCTTGCTCCTTGCTTCGTGCCAATACTGAACTTCCTTACTAGCTAGCTACACAGCTAGCTAGCTAGCTATTTAGCTAGCTAGCTAGCTAGCTAGCTAGCTAGCAAAATAACTACCTATACGGAGAGTAACCCTAGCTAGCTACTGGCTGTCGCTTGTATATGCCTATATATCCCCTGTCCTAAACCCTAAACCCTAAACCCTAAATCCCTTTAAACCCCCAACCTCTCCTAGACCTCTCGGTCTAAACCCTAAACCCTAAACCCCAAACCCTAATTCTAACAATATATAAGACAAGTAATATATTAATTTATCTTCCTTTCCTTCTTTTTTTTTTTTTCCTCTTATTGTACTACACTGCACCGCAACAGTCCCTTAAGGAAAGGGCATAAAAGGGCCCATTGCTGCCTTTATATAAATAAAAAGGCAAAAAAAAAAAAAAAAAAAAAAAAAAAAAAAA